CATTCCCTAGCCCCACACCCCAACCTAAATCTGGTCCTGAACTGAATCCTAAACCATGTCTTCACCCTCAGACAGCTCTTTGAAGGTATGATGATCACAAACATGTCCTCGCAGCAATAGTAGCAACCTAAATTTTGTCCATACAACCATAAAAAGACATATATATACACACAGGAACACACACCCACACAAAGGCCTTTTTGATTCCCACTGGCTGTAGCTGCAGCTTTTGTCTAAAACCCATCCCAGACACCTCTAATTGGCTGGTATTTATCCAGGATCCCAGGAGAGCAGAGTGCACGCAGGGTTGTTTTCACATGGGATTAACCCAGGTCCAAATCCCAGCACACTTCAGAGAGAAAACCCAACACTCTCACTGCATCATCTGGCAGAGATTGGCCTCTGTTGCCCTGTTTACCCAATCTGACCGGTCTGATTTGGCTCAGTGTTTCTGAGCTGCTGCTCTTCTGGCAGGCAGTGGGTTTTAAGTTGTACACATGTTATTTTAAACATAAATGACATGATAGTACAACAGTTTGAGTTCAAATGTCATGGCAGTCTGGAGAGACTTGCTTTTTATATAACATCACTGTGTTGAGAAAAGTCTGAATCTTTCAGTTACACAATCTGCTGCTCCCATAATTCCAACTATAGACACAATAATCCCATAATTTAGACAGGGAACTTCTGAATACATACATGAACAATCACAGCTGTACAAGATCTGATCTGTGTAAAGCTGAGTAGGTACTTTATTGATCCCACAGTGGGGAAATTAGAGGCATGCAATATTAAAGTGTAGCCTAGTAGTAAATTTGAATGCATTGAACAATGTTTCTTAACATGTGTAACACACTTGTTTTCCTCATTTAGTATAATTAGCATGACACAGTGAATGATTTTAATACATGACAAATCACTCAGCAGTCTTATGTAGTTAGGCTGCCAGTAGTACAATATGATATTACATACAACATCATACATATCATTGCATGGTGTGGCCATCAGAAATCAAGTCAGTATTAAGTCTGCATTAGACAGTGGTAGTAATATGCTGTATGTGAGGTCTGGCCAGGGGAAGGCTCAGAGATCAAAACAACAGACGCTGCCACATTTACTTGATTTATATTGCCATCTATTGGACATATGTATAATGTCATAAAACCACAGCAAATCTACTTGTAGGTCAATAGCAGTGACAAAGTGGTTTATTGGATCCCAAGGAGACAGATGGTTTTTCTTCTTCTGTGAACATCAGTTGGTTCATTATCATTATACACTCATGCTGTGTGGACAAACATGGATTAAACAGTTTCTACAGTCATGGCCAAAATAGTGGCACTCCTGCATTTCTGTCACAAACCACATCAGGTATCAGATGTGACTTTTTTTCTCAGCTTTTTTGTGTTGTTCCAATTTCAAAAGAAATAAACATGAGAACACCAAAGAACTTGTGATTGCAACAATTATATGGGAGAAGTGATGCCTTGGTTAGCGTTTAACCAAGCAGCCATGCTGTACGCAAATTTCATTGAGATACCCCCCCCAACACACCCGGTTTGATATATGTGGTGACAATGGTACATACCTTGATGACTCAAGAATCTGATGACAAAATACCCTTTATAGTAGCTGGTTTTTTGAGCTAAAGGGGGCATTATTGTGATCCACACCACAACAGGAAGTATAAACAGCACCCTTTCTTCTTACTACAATTAGAGGTTGGAAAAGCAATGTATAGGTGCATTACTGCCACCTATTGACTGGAGTGTTGTAGTAGTAGCACCCTCTGGCTGGGATGAAGAAAAATCACACCCCCTTTGGTGTTGATGTATTACAGATGAGAAAACAATGGGCCTAAATATTTTAGCTGATAACTCTACAGGCAAATTTATGTCCAACACATTGTCTGTCAAAATCAACAGATACGGGGTTATGACAGCAGCTGTGTGATAAATCAGATTTAAAATGAGTGTTTACAACAAAGTTGTCTACTTCTTTGCAGTATATTGTACATGGTGTTCACTACTGTATACTGGTAACTTATAGTACTGTGTTAACCATGTTCAATACAGCAGATCTATAGACATGAATCCCAGTGTATATAAGGATAATCCCTTTATTTGGCCAAGTATGTTACACACACAAGGAATTTGTTTCTGGTACAGAACTGAGGAAGCCATCTGCAGCGCCAACTCACACCGATGGCTCGGGGGCAGCTCGGGGTTTGGTGTCTTGTCCAAGGACACTTCGGCATGTGGACTGCAGGCACCATGATTCAAACCTCTAACCTTCCTGTTTGGAGATGACCGCTCTACCCACTGAACCACCGTCACCCCGTATAATACGGTATTGTAGGCTTTATGAAATGTGGTGGCCAAAAGGAGAACTGCAGGTTGGATTTTATGAGCCTCTTGCATGGTTAAAAACACTGCGTTATTGATGCAGCGCCACCAACAGGGCACCGCAAATACAACACAGTGAAAAAGTATGACACTTTTAATGCCTACATCTGTATCTGCATCAAAATATACTTAAAGACAGCATAGAATTAATTGAACCAGAGACTTGTGGTATAAACGCCCTGGGTTGTAATGTAGTGAGAGAGCATGTGATGGCACTGTGGGGTCTGATAATGTACAATGACCATTAACAAAATGTTAAAACCAGACCGTTTATCTTTGAAAAAAACCACACTGTGTCACATCCTAGAGCCTTTAAAATGTGTATGTAGATAGAACCACAACCTAGCTGTACAGAAGCAAGACTCTCTGGAAAATGTGCTTTGTGGTTTTGAAACTTTACATAGTCCCCTGTTAGAGGTTGTGTAATTCATATGGGTACGTACATTGTTATTCCAGACAGTTTATCTTTGCAGCACTGAAAAAAGACGTGCTCACTGGTGGGTAAAATAGAATGTCTTCTTGTTTCAACAGATATGAAAACAAAGTAACCCTAAAGTTCTGAACTGAGAAATTGCATGTTCATGCACACTGGGCTGCTGATTCTGCATAGGACTGCCAGGATTATCACGGCTTGAATGGCTCCACAGGCAACCCACCTGTGAAACACCATGGGGCCAGGAAGAGGATATGCAGATCACCGTTGTTTCTGTTGGACCAATGCTACCCTTGATATTTGTGAATGTTTGTGATCCTGTCCATTGTAATGCGAAGGATCTGGGCAGCATCTTTTTCACTACACTTATTCTATAATGTTTGAGTAACTGTAGGTTTTGTCTTTTGTTAAAAACTTTGCATGTCTCTTAATGCATTTTCTGAAAAAAGAATTGTTGTGGAAATGAATAAGTTTCAAAGTATGGTGTTTTGATTTAATTTAGAATTGAATATTTGTCTTATTCCAATTAATTCAGTTTTAAACCTTACATTTATCAAAGCTGCTGGGGCTAAACTTCCTTAAAATTAAACTATATTGGGGGTGAAACACCACTTTTCCTAAGTTTAAAAGAATTATTAAATTTACAATATGAATTTAATATTAATTTCATTACTGAATTTCTGGAAAGAGAATTAATTAATTTGGTTTTTACACGGATCATAAATCACTCACTTCACACCTCACTTTGACAGATGGGGCATTGTATATCTCTCTGGTGGACATTATATTGAATATTTACAAACCCCAATTCCAAGTTGGGACATCGTGTAAAACGTAAATAAAAACTAAATACGACCTGCAAATCCTTTTTGGTCCATATTTAATTGAATACAGCACAAAGACATGATATTTAATGTTCATTCTATTGTTTTTTTGCAAATATTCACACAGTTTGAATTTGATGCCTGCAACACGTTCCAAAAGAGCTGGGACAGGGGGCAACAAAAGACTGGGAAAGTTGAGGAATGCTCAAAAAACACCTGTTTGGAACATTCCACTGGTGAACAAGTTTATTGGAAACAGGTGAGCATCATGTTTGGGTATAAAAGGAGCATCCCAAAAGGCTCAGTCATTCACAAGCAAGCATGGGGTGTGTGTAACTCACCTATAAGGTAAGGGCCCTGAGTTTAATTACCTCACAGTAACTATAACTGATGAATCTTAAATCTCTAATAAACCTCTCTACATTATATGATCCTACCAGCACTGCATAGAATAACCAAAGACTTGACTCAACAGAAAAATCAAGGGTAAACCATAAACAATGACAATCCCTTTTGCAAATACATTTAACTCTTCTCTGTAAAACCCCCTTTTCAATGCATGAAATAAACACACACACAGTGGGCCCACACACCACACCACACTCTCTCCACCAGCCGCATATACACTGAGATTTAACCCCCGTTGCCTGATGGACGCTCGGGTGCCGTGAGGCCATCGGCGTCGTTAGACCACTTGTACTGGGGCACGTTCCCCAGTAAATACATTCCCATAAGGGTTTTTATTAGACCAGTCTTCAGAGAAACTAAATGCAAGACAGCAATAAACCAACTGACGCACGTAAAAGAAACACAATAAAAACAAAAACGTGCTGCCAGCTGCGCGTGGAAACTATTGTGACGACCGCTGGCTCGGTTGAGAGGAGCTGGCCTGACCCTGTCCTATACTGGACAGCTAACTATCCAGCAGTGTGCCGGCACCTGGGTCAACAAGGAGGAGAACACCTGGTTTGTCTTTTGTGGTTTTACTGAACGCGGTAAGGAGACAAATGAACACGCTGTCCGAACTGGCACCATGTGCTCTCTAAAGAAAATAATGAAAGAATAAACAACACATGTCCCGAACTTCACCATCGCCCGCCAACAGAACCAACCCAGCACACCCACCTGTCATCCCTCTTATCTCCTCCCCACCTGTTCCTCCCCCCATCCCACATTGGCCAGAACAGCGGCATCTCGCAGAAAACATCGGTAACAATACATGCACAGTTTTCACAACAGTGTCAAACCCATTTGCACACAACAGAACACATGAACATCAGCGGCCGGTCAGGGTCGCCACACTATGTTCCCGCGCGCCGTGCCCGTGTATACCGGTAGCGCGCACGTTTCAAATGCCAATCAGCGTACGTCGCGCGAGAGCAGGTAAGATAATGTATGAAAACGCTGTGAAAGTAAAGTTTCCATGGTGCTAGCTACACTATCTGAACAATGACTAACTCCTCCTGTAGATATCAGAACATTCTTGTTGTTTCGAGGCAAAGGGAGGGAAGCAGAAAGGAGAGATGAGTTTGAGGGAGGTAAGACAAATGTTGACAAACGAGCTGTAGCTAACGGACTTGTAGGTCTGTGTGTAGCTGTGAACGGTCATTCAGCGCACTGAGACGACTCCACACTTGGCTGAGGTGCACAATGGGCCAAGACAGGCTTCACCATCTTACTGTCTTATCAATTTAGCAGGAAGAACTTTGTAAACTGAGTGAGAGTCACGTTATTGACAGGTTTGTCAAAATGAAGAATAGGCGCTACACTTTATTTCACAAAAGGAACCAACTGAACTGCTTTGATTTGGTGGACAAGACGCTTTTAAACTTGGGGAAATACTTAGCTTTACTTTGTGTATAGGATGTGTAGGATAGGATATTAATTAGTAGTTGATGAAGTCATATTGGGACATGTTTATGTCCTCCGTTTTGGTAGCATTCATGTGTGTATGCTGTTTATTCTTTGAAAATCTAAAATGAAAAATGACATCTGATAAAAATTAAACCACTTTTGTTCTGAGGGAGTACTTATGAATTATCCGTGTGTATAACTGTGTAATGCGCCGCAGTAAAGCTTCAAGTCTAGCAACGCCCATGGGTGAGGCCAGAAACTAAGCAGCCATTTCACTCATGAGAGCCAAACAAAAACGGCACCTTATTTAGTAGTTCGCAGTTCAGAGACTGAAGCTTTACCTCCTCTGTTTGTTCAAAGAAATGGCTAAAGGTCCTAGTAGTCCTCCGATGGCTAAGTAGTTACAAGTGCTCAGGTCCAGGTCCAAGCAGTAGCGGAAGGTCAGGAGTAGAAGGCTGTGTTGTACCGATCAACTGGTCACTCACGTAGCACTGTCTCTGATCATGTCCACGAATTTCAGCTCGGAAAAGGTGAATACAGTCTTGGGAGTAAGCTGAGTTAGCTATACTACCAACATTAATTTAGCTAAAGACTGCTAACAAGATAGCTTGTTATGCTACGAAGCTAACGCTAATGCTAAGCCACATTCTGCACGTGTTAGCACAGCGTGGCTTCACAGTGCGGGTACTAGACTGACCTGCCTACAGTCCAGACCCGGGTCCCATTGAACATGTGTGGCACAATATGAAGCAGAAAAGACGACAACGCACAACCCAGACTGTTGAGCAACTGAAGTCGTACATCAAGCAAGAATGGGAAAGAATTCCACCTACAGAGCTTCAACAATTAGTGTCCTCAGTTCCCAAAAGCTCATTAAGTGTTGTTAAAAGGAAAGGTGATGTAACACAGTGGTAAAAATCCCCCTGTCCCAGCTCTTTTGGAAGGTGTTGCTGGCATCAAATTCAACATCAGTGAATATTTGCAAAAAACAATATAGTTTATCAGTTTGAACATTAAATATCTTGTCTTTGTGGTGTATTCAATTAAACATGAGTCCATCAAAAGGATTTGCAAGTCATTGTATTCTGTTTTTATTTACATTTTACACAATGCCCCAACTTCATTGGAATTGGGGTTTGTAGTTGTATTGTTATCTCTCAGGCTTGTTGCTGTTACAGTTATGGATTAGAAAGAACTTAAGTCCAACTAAATTATTTGTTTTGTTTTTCCTCTCTCCCTTTGTGTTGTGAGTTATTGTACAACAAAAGTGATGGTGGCTGATAGGATTTGTATCTTATCCAATCCTAAATGAAAAAGGAAAATAAATACATACATTCATTTTATTCACAGTATATAGCCCTTCCCCCATGTCTGACTGAAGAGTTTACCTTTGTAACCATGGCAATGGAATCATGTGACTTTAGGGTCATGTGACATAAAAGGCCATAGTGATGTCAGAACTTGCTTTCCACACACTACATCACAGGAAACTCTGGCCACGTGTGTAGACAGATCTAACTGTTGAACTTCGAAAGCACTTTTGAAGTTTTATAATTTTACAGAAAGAACACTATTTTAAGATCCAGGAAACTGGTAAAACAGCAACATGCCAATCTTAAGTTTGGGTTTCCTTGTGGGCACTTTAGTCACTAAAACTGTTAGAGGACTCTTTGACCATTATCTAACACCAGGAGAAAGAGAGGGAGAAGTCTGGTCAACACACATTGCTGGTGCAAAACCTCCAGCAGCAAAGGAAAAAGTAAGTGCACCAGAGCCAAGTGTTAAGAAGCAGTGTGACAATGTGGATGAGCATGGACCAGACTCAAATTCACCCGACAGCCTATGTGAATCTGTCTGCAAGTTTTCAAATGCATTTGGTAACTGCTGGATGAATGCCTCACTACAGGCTGTATTGGGCATGAAGACTGTGCAGGAGAAATTAGCACACCTATCCCCTGAGTCACCGGAGGTACAGCTATCAGTATCACCAGCATTTGCACGGCTCTTTTTAACAGCCCTAAAAAACCCAGGAAGGATTATCAGACCAAAAGAAACCTATGAGGTTTTGATAGACCTGAGCAGGAGAGTACCATCTCTGGGTTTTACAAAGGCAAACGGCGTATTTGATTTGCTATCACCTCTCCTGTTCTGGCTCTACCATTGTGGAGTAAAACCGACTTTCCAGCAGAATGAAACATGCTTCTGCAAACAATGTGGACAAGAAGCACGTGGCCTTATAGTCGACCAGGGTTTTTATATTTTACCACCACCATGTAAAGGTGACACCATTTCCTCTCTCGTCACACATGCTCTCAACCAAAGGCAAAACACAGCACTATGCGATGTATGTGGTTGCGTAGCAAACAGAAAACCAACTTGGACCTGCCCTGACATTTTAGCCTGGATATTGTGTCGAGCACACTACAATGGGTTGATAATCAAAGAGCCTGTGACTCCGTCCAAATTTATAGACATTCCAGTGGAGGACAACAAAACACAAAGATACAGACTGTGCTCTGTCATATGTCACAAAGGCTGTGGTGGAAATCAAGGACATTGTTATTCATATTTGTTTAAGGACGATGTCATCATCAAAGCTAATGACTGTGAAATATCAGTTGTATCAGATGACATTGACGTATGCAGAAATGGGAGCTTTTACTTCTATGACAAGTGCACATAAGCACTTTCCACATATGGGACCACATGTGGACAGAGCGTCACAGCAGAAAATACAAGAAAAGACTTTGGGGAGCTAGATGTGTCTCTGCCCTTACTTGGAAAGTTCTACTAATTCCAGAGTGGATAATTGAAAAGTCTGGAACAACATTTATGACATGCATTTTGTCCAAAATCACCTCCTGCTGCTCCTCAGTGCTGTGCTGTCTGAATGCTGAGTTAAACAGGTTAAGTAGGCCCATAATAATGAGTATCGGGCAGAACCAGTTAACCAAGTGCAAGCCAGAGTAGCAGGGGCAGCACAGCGTTGCGGTGGTTAGCGCCTCACAGCAAGAAGGTTCTGGGTTTGAGCCCGGGCCAACCCAGTGTTCTTCTGTATAGAGTTTGCATGTCCTCCCTGTGTCTTGGTGGGTTCCCTCCGGGTGCTCCGGCTTCCTCCCACAATCCGAAAACATGCAGCTTAGGTTGACTGGGGACTGATGTCTCCAGATTCCTGAGAGTAAAGAAAAGTGTATTTTTGTCTGCTGTGACAAATAAGTTAAAACACACACGCACGCACACACACACACACACACACACATACAAAATGTCATTTCAAAAGAAAAGAAGATGCCAGAGAGCCCAGGAAGTTCACTTTAGATTCATTTAAGGTGCTCTTTGGTAAATAGGGAACAAAAATAAATTTAAAAAAAGATTTTTAAAGCCTTTATTTAGCATTTATTCAGCATTTTCCATCCCTGAACAATCTCAGGGGTTGACACCCACAAACTGGGTTTTGCACACTAAAGCATTTTTTCACACACCGCTGCCGGAAACTGGTTTCTGTAGCTTTTATAAAAGTCACTTTTTGTCATATTTGTTGAAACTGTCATGTCCTGGCAGCCACACAGACGACCTGTTCTGTGAACACACCCGGTTCCTCTGGCTCCTCCTAATGGCTTCTGATCCTTTTGAAAAATCCCACAGCGCCAGAATGCGATCTCTCACTAGGTGGTGCTGCCCACTGTCAGACACAGTAATGATGATCTACAGCAGGGCTTCTCAGCCTTTTGTAACTTGAGGACCACATTTGATTTTCACAACATTTCTGAGGACCACCTTGTAAAGTAAACAAAAATAAATACAGAATGAATGTATCTAATGTATGTATTGATTGTATTCAGGCTCATATTTCCTCACCACAAGCTTTGGAGCTTTTACTGGCACGGGGGCTGTCTCCCACATCACTTGTTCATTTCAGAACCGATCCATTTTGTGCCGCTGCATCCAAGGAAACGCTGGTTGGCTAACGGTGGTAAAACACGTTTGCCACTTTCCGCGGCGTTGTGATATTCAAATGTAACTGGTCATTGAAATTAGGAATTTTAACTTGACATTTTTTTATTTATGTGAATTACTGAGCACATTTAGTAAATGCCTAGCTCTGTAACTTAGAAAAAAATGTATTATTTTTTAAATCTAACCCTTTGCAGCACTACGGCGTGGCCCACTAGATGGGGCTCCGAGGCCCAGCAGTGGGCCGTGGCCCTCTGGTTGAGAATGGCTGGTCTACAGTAATAATGTACAACAAACTATAGTGTGTTTGTCATTCACAACGTAGCCAAAAGATGAACTGAACATCTTTATATCTTTTCAGGTTGTCATTGATGAGGACAGCTTCAGCTCTCCTGTCTGTGAAGTCCACATCTTGCTGGCTGCCCTTGACTGCAACCACCATGTCCATAGACCAGATGGCTCCATACAGTATGTTAATAAGTTTAAATAAATGATCTATAAATTTAGCTGTTTTGGGTGATCTGAATCCATTTGCCAGTCAGAGGTCACTAAAATTAATTAAAGTAACTTCACTAGAACAATGTCGGACTCCGTAGTTTTCTCTGGACCCCTGACCAATCTGACCAGGGACGACGTGTTTAGCCGCATGCCGTCATTGTGATGTCCAGAAAATAATGTGGGCTTCATAGACAACTGGAAAACATTTTGGGGAAAACCTGGTCTGATTAGCAGAGACAGCATCCACCCCACTTTGGATGGTACGGCTCTCATATCTATTCCTATCTTCTTTCGAATTGGGGTTTGGAATTCTGAATATTTAATTGTGCATGATTTTTGCATATCTAGCACTTAGAGAACGGCTTATTGTCCATAACAACTAAACCTAAGTGTAAACAACTGTTCCACCCAGATATCTTATTCTTCATTTTATTTTCTGGTAGCTTTTAACATGTGTATGTGTTTCTAATGGTTTTTATATTCAGTTTTTGTTTATTTTGTCCAACACACACTTGTTCTGGTGATTCTAGTCATACTGTTCTGATAATTTAGTGAGTATGTGTGAATGATTACATCGACCACAGTTTGGCCCTGAGGCTGACCCATGTAGTACACTACTGGAGACCAGCTGCCGATACAGAATAGACCTGTTACTATGATGCCATGTTGACTAGAGAAAATCTGAAGAAAATGTGTGTTTCTCCAGATCAACACATTGGTTCAAATCCTGAACTACAGGCAGGGGCTTTAAGAATGTACATTGTGAAGCCCACATTTAATTAATAAGTGATCTGTCTGTAAACTGTCAGTTTGTCTGTCACCTGTGTGTTTCCCACTCCCACGTGCATTTGGCTGGACTATTTAAACCAGTGCAGTTAGTTCATTGCCTTCTTGTCTGGCCTCAAGGTAAGTAAACAGCACAACTACCTTCTTATCATTGTTTCATTTCTCTAAAACCACAAATTCTCATGGGACTTTATGCTCAACAGATGTTACACATGTGGAGTTTGGGTTTCTTCTGCTTCCTCACTGGGACATCATATGGTAAGTTAACTCTAGGATTCAGACCCCAGGCTTCATATTCCCTAGGCAAATATTGTAAATGTTTATACACTTATGGTTATTTTAAAAGAATTCTATAATTCAAAAAGTTCAAAATGAATGTCCAGGTTTAATTTGCATTTCATATCCTGAAAATACAAACCTAGGTAAGACTCAGTCAAACTGCATCACATTTATATGGATAGCATTTTCTTTTGTGCTGTAACCTAAGCTGTACAGGTTTTGTGACCTTTTGAGACTTCTATCTCAAGTATAAACTGTTTGTGACCTTAATTCAGTTTCAGATGTCATTTCGTCTTTAATGTGTGAATGAAAAGCTTAGAAAGCCTAGCTTTAAAGCTTAAAAGGTAATGAGCTCAAAGGGCAAATATTGTATTTGAGTTCCTAATATATGATGTTAAAACTGTATCTTTGGGAAAGTCACTCTACATGGGAAGAAACTAAAGCCTATCTGTACGGTGTGTTCTCCATGTCCTCAGCGGCAGAGATCTGTTTTGATGAGCTGGGCTGCTATGGTGACCTGCCTCCCTGGGGGGGCACTGCTCAAAGACCAATCTCTGCCCTGCCCTGGAGCCCCGTGAACATTGGCACCCGCTTCCTCCTTTTCACCCAGAAGAACCGCTACTACCAGGTGAGGAGGAGGTTTCATGTAATGAACTTATTATTTATTTTTTGTTTTACAAAGTTTCTTGGTGCTTCAACACACTTTGTTCCCATCCTGAGCTATGGTAAAGGGACAGTAATATAAAGATGGACAGACTATGATTCTCAAAAAGACCACAACTTAAGGTAATCACTTTATTTGCCCAAACTCAAACTGCTGAAGTTTCACATTAGCTTCAGGTGAACTTTGAATTTTTGTTTTACTCAAAACAAGGACTGAAATTCTATCCTTCTTCAAGTACTTAAACTTTAAAGTCCCCATGGCTGCTCATTTTGCTCATTTCCAGCCATTTAATGTTTAATCCTGGGTACCTCTAGATTATCTTTGCATCCATCATAGCTCCAAACAGTCCGTAATTATTTCAGAATGATAAAACCAGAGAGCCTCTTCCTTAAAATGAGAGAAGAGTTCATGAACATGCACACCTCCTGCTGCTAGTGTTGTGTCCAAAGTGGACAGCACAACAAACCATGACCACATTAATTAATATGAATGTCTCCTCCATAGACAGGTAAACAACGGTATATGTACTAATAAAAAGAGATGTGTAACACTCTAAACCAAGCAGGTAATTGAGAAACCCCATATTTTAACTGGCATAATGCAGACATAGTAACTTCTCCAGCCTTACAACAATTCTCTGTAATGTTACAGAAACAAGGCATTAACAGACATGCAGTGTGCGTTTTTTAACTTCCTGTTAAGTCCCACTGAGTAGTGGAAACATCACTCCCTTTCAAGTAGCTCCACGGTCGGTAAATCCAACCGGTGGTCGCTGCGTCTTCCCCCACACGACCACATACAGTCACAAAGCAGTGAAATTAATTCCAAAAGGTAGCATAGTGCCAGCAATAGCATCATAGATTATTAATCCGCTGGGTTAACCAGCAACGCATCACATGCTACAGACAAATTGGCCTCAATCAGTCCAAACAAACAGGTACTGTGCTCTTACTGAGAGACAGTGGTGGCTCTCAAAGGCAGTTGATACTTTCAGTCTTCAGATGTGATGTGAATTATTTCAAGCAGACCCTCGTCCTCCACAATGTTAATCAGCCCAAAAACTGTAACCACCCATTTAGCCATTGCTGGGCTCTCTGCATCAGCTGTGTGCTTGGCCAGCAAGTGGTATCTGAGAGTCGATGTACTCCGGTGGTAACTCGATTCACATCGACAATAAATACAGTAAATTCTCTTCAGACCTTTGAAGGTGAACCTGCCATTCAAAAGACCCTTTTCTTAATCCATGTCTCCTCATCTCTGTTGCTGCATTGCTTCTTGATTTCCCTAACTACAAGGCAGGCTGAGGGTCATAATCACAGAGTGCATGTGTTAGTCGTGCATCAAAAAATTTGTGGCATTAAAAGAAATTTACATTAACTCATTATTATCACATTAATTTTGACAGCCCTAATTAAGACAAACGTGAAAAAATGTGAAGCTGTTCTTAAGGCTCTCGAAACATTCATCACTGCTTCCCTGTGCAAACTATCAGGAGATCAGGGCTGACCAAACCATACAGTCCTCAAACTACAGCGGGAAGAGAAAAACTCGGTTCATCATCCCTGGCTATCTAGCAAAAGGAGATGAGGACTGGCCACAAGAGATGTGTAAAGTAAGAAAGCACACACAGTAAAACTCCTTCATAGCTAAAATAGTAGCTCTGAAGAACAATGACAGTTTATCGAAGGGCTTCATAACAAAGGTATGTTGAAAAATGTAACTGTTTGCTATTTTATGCTATAGATGCTTTTATTTATTTATTCATAACCATGACATTTTGTTTTTAAAAAGTTTTATATGAATAAATCTTGACTTATTTACTTTACTGGCTGAATCGTCAATTTCATCTGTGTGGACTAATTTGTCACTCTGTCTAGGTCATGGTGAAGTCGCAGAATGTGAATTGCATTGCTGTAGAGTGGAAGAACGGTGTGAAGACTCAGTATGCTCAGGCTGCCAATAATGCCAGGGTGGTTGGTGCCCAGGTCGCACACATGATCACATTCCTTATGGTAAATGCAGCACTTCATTAATCCTTGGACCCTGGAGCACTGTAGGTGCAGGTCTCACTGTCACACAGAATAAATGGTTCAATTCTTAATGTGCCACCCCTCACTGGCCACCCCATCCAGCATTTTCTATATCTGCTGCTGGATCCTGTATTCCTCTAAGTGTTGCATAGGTTCCTTTATGTCATGGTACTCTTAAGAGATGGATTTCAGTGTTTAGTTTAATGCTTTAATGTAAGCAAAAACACTTTCATATGAGTTTCCAAAGAGCTGAGTATCACTATAATCACAGAAGCCAAATGGAAAGGACACAGATAGTCACAGCTGGAACCTGAAAGGCTATTCTCATGCACACACAGCAGCTGTAGGACATTCTGAATGTGGTAGACCCTACCAGTCAATTGTCTGGATACACTTTCCCATTGTTTTGAATGAGATAGTGTATCCAAATATTTGACTGATAGTGCCTATGATAATGTGGTTGACTGTAACGCATGCCGCATGATACAGGGCAACTACAGCCAGGTGGCGGATAAGTTCCATATTATCGGACACAGCATTGGAGCTCATGCTGCAGGAGAAGCTGGCAGCAGGATCAACGGCCTCGCACGCATCACAGGTGACCTTGCCACAGCGCTCACTGGATAGTGTGTTAGTCAAAGTCACTCCCTGTCAGGCAGGAACAGGGCAATGCTGTTAAACATTTTTTGGATAAAAACCTACTTTTATTATTTTGTACAAAACAATTTAGGCTTCTGAGTTTTATAAACACATTATTATTATTACATTTTGTGTAAGTGAATGTGAAGTTCAAAGTATTTATTTGTCATATGCACAGTTAGGAAACGTGTTTCCCTGTACAATGAAATTCTTACTTTGCCGTCCACGTGAATTCCACAAAATACAAATGAAATGTAAAGTAGATAAATAAATAACACTAAATCTAAGGCACTTTAAGCAGCAAATGTAGAAATATAGTAGAAAAAAATATACAAGAATATAACAGAATGTATGCTGCATGGGAGCAGCATGTGCAGCAGTCAACAGTCATTGTGCAATTATACATGTGAAGTGATGTTTAATATTATTAAATGTATTAGTTTGTCATTGATTACTGGGCCAGCCTGACGCTGACTGACACTGGCCTGGCATATTGGTAACACCTCGTGTGTATGTGCTTTAGACCCTGGCAGATCAGTGCTGACAAACAGAATGATGTTTTTATAAATTGTTAAATAATTTGATAACACATTAAGATTGGCTTTTTTTTAAATAAAAATGTATACCATTAGAATAATGTGTGAGATACTACAATCCAATCACATAACAACTCTGTTATGTACAAATCCTATGTCAGCACTTATGGCAGTGCAGCATTTAGGATTAGTTTCTGGTTAGAAGACATGTTGCTTATTTAAAATGATCACATATTATTAAATAGGCATCCCTGTGCACCACTACAATTTTTTTTTGAGCAAAATTAAGAATATAGAGCATCTTAATCCTGGGGAAAGACTGTTCTTCTTTCACAAAGACCAAACACACCAGTCTACAGCCGAGTGTGCAGAGCCTTCCACGGATCTTACTGTGACATGACGCGATTCTTTCTCTTCAAAGGACTGGACCCAGCTGAACCTTACTTTCAGGACACCGATGCCTTCATGCACCTGGACATCAGTGATGCTACCTTTGTGGATGTAATCCACACTGACGGACTTCCTTTTGATTCCAGCCTTGGTACTACATACAGTATTCACAGCATTTTGTACAGCTTGAGTCTGAATTAGTAGAATACTGTACCTGTAATAATTTAGAGTGTCACTGCACTCACAAACACTAAGGTAATATTGTGCTCTTAACATTTTCAGCAAATTCCAAATGATTATTTGTTTGCTATTGACCAAAGCTGCCTAACAGAGTTGAAATTAAGCTAAATTGATCAAAATCATGAAACTATGGTAAAAATGTCTATTCCAATCCTTGTATTGCAGGTCTGGGGATGTCACAGCCCGTGGGCCACATCGACTTCTATCCCAATGGAGGAACACTGATGCCTGGCTGCTCTGCCAACAACGGCTATCCCAAAGACCTGGATGCTATCTGGGAAGGTGAGAAACACATTTCAGCAGACACAGTGGATCAAATTGATGATTTTGTCGGAGCCCTACGTGTGGTTAGGGTTAACTGTGAATATCCACTTGGGAATAAATAAAGTTTTATTCTAGCTTATCTCATCTTTGAGCAACTATCTATGCTGTGTCCCATGAGCTCTATACCCGCTGGGGTACCATAAAGCAACAGTGTCCTCTCATGGTGTTAATATGAACTGCATTCTTTTTCCCACTCTGCTTCATAAGGAGCAATGATTCCGGTGCCAATAGTCATAAAATGGGTCACTGATCAGTGTCAGCAAATTCATCTGCAAACCTTCATTGGCAGGCACTGCTCTGACCACACAGTATATCTAAAGTAATTATAAGAACTATAACAACAAAACATTAAAATAACAATCATTCATGGTAAAGATTGGTCTGATTGGTTGTTTGGTGCATAGGTCCTTTGTGGCCCTTCCCTTGAAAAGTTGCACAGTAAGAGAGTCAAATGTATCCATAAACCTGACAGCACAGTGTGACCTTTGAGATACTGGTCTGATATTCCACTACACACTCCATGTTCACTGTTCTCAAGTTTACACACTTCATCACAGACACTTCTCCTATACATAACACAATGAGTCATATGTTCTGTTTTCTCAGCCATGCAACTTAACAATGCAGAGCCCCCTGTGGAATATTGGAGTTGTCCCAATGGAAAAATTGTACAGAAACCCCAGGCAGAGTTATTCTCGTTGGACCTATCTGAGCAAATATTTTCTAAAATGAGTGACGACGGTCTTCTTTTGAAATGTGCTGCTGAGTATCAGGGCTCAAGTGGCAGCATTGGTGCCATGCCTGGGTTGGGGGTGGAAGGGGTGGGGGTGCTGGCACAGCTGAATATGCCACTTTTGATCTTATAGATAAGAGATTGAGAGTGGGAGCCAGGGCTACATAACTGGAGGTCCTGGAGCACCTGGTGTTTGCCCTGTACTGGAGAACTGAAGTTATGACCTCTCTCTATGTTTCTCTTAACCAACACTGTCTCTCTCTGTGTTTTTGCTCTAAGATTCACCTTATTGTTTTGCTGGTGCTTTCTTTTTACTTGAAACTGTAACTTATTCCTAAAACTACTTTCTGTGCAAATCTGTTCAGAGTTTCAAAATGATTCTTGATGGTTTTAAATATAATTTAAATATCCTTCTCCCTTCACCTGACTGCTTCTCAGTCTTCTAAAGCTCCACATGTTTCTTACTGCTCAGCGATATACTACCCAACCTGGGTCAGAAGGTCATCATTTCATTCGTAGCTCTAATAAGCATTCACATCTCTTCATATTCCTCCTTACTCGACCCTCACCATGGCCCTCTCACTTCTTCCTCTTCTCTGTCATCACCTGCTCCAACCTTTCTCCAGGTACCAAGAAGTTTGATGCATGCAACCATATCCGAGCCTACCAGTACTACAGTGAAAGCATCGCTAAACCCCAGGGCTTTGTAGGATTCCCCTGCTCGGACAAGGACAGTTTTACTGCTGTAAGTCTTTGGCTATACAAGAGTACTAAACCATAGGTGCTATCTGCCCAACTGGCAGGTCTGTGGTGGGCAGTTATTCTTGCAGAAGTTACATAATTATGCATGAATAAATTGCACATTCCACAAAGTTAAATGTTGTGTTCAAACTCTGTCCTAATAACTTCTTTAGGAATTCTTTATGTTAAGGAATATTGCTTCAGTAGCTCTTTACCTGCCTCGTGCACCATAAATACAATAACCTTACAGCAATGAGACAACCAAGGCTGATGTAGCATTGCAACTGTTTTTACTGGCTAGTTGGAGAGCTACTGTCACTGGCATGCTAACCAGCACATGCCACGTACGTAGTTGGTTACATGCTTTCACTCTACAGCTACAATAGCAAGTCAAGCTACCTAACTAATCAAAGGACTGGCTAGGTCAATGAGTCTACCGATGGGACTATCCTACTGCGAGAAATGACTCAATAAGTCGTTTTCTGCTAACAGTTTTTACGATCTGTATTATGGTTTGGTGACGTCTAGCCACTATAGGCTGGGGTAGATGGCTAGATACCCTGCACCTGACTTTCCCCCAAGCAAGTGGTGCTCGAACCCACTGGGTGACCTGTGTGTTTTAAGTACTTGTTGTTCCTAAATATTAAAACACTAGTGTTTGTTCCTAAACCTAGCCAAAATGTGATACAAAGGAAATAAAGCCATGATGATATTCATAGCAGTATGTTTATGGCTGTTTCCTTGACAACAAGACTGCTTAGCTTGTCATTGTGTCATATTGTATGTTGTTGCTAATGTTGGTGGAGTTTTTGCAGTTCAGCCTGGCAAACAGTGGCACTGTTTGAGGAGATCCTCCTATGGGTCTTATGAGAGGGAAGGGACAAATGATCTACATGGGTAGTATCAGTTGGAGGACTTGTTGTTATATATGTGCTTTAGCTCTGGCCTCATAATATAATTCCACTGCCACTAGGAGCTGTACCGTATCGACACCGGTCCAGGGTTTGGGTGTTTCCGTTGTCTCAGCAATGGTCTGTGCCCAGGCTGAAACTATTTGAAAGGGTGATATCTGGCTCTGCTCGAAAGCAAGTCTCGAATTGAACTACTCCACCCCCAACTCAGCCGTGTACACTGGAAAAGAAAGAAAGAAAGAAGAAGGTGATGGCAGCACATTACAAAGAAGTAAAAAGAAACTAATACAACAACTTTGTTTGTTAAATCCATGTTTCCTCTGTAGCACACTTGCTGTTGGTGTTTTTTCTGGTCACGGAAAAGAAGGCACCGCGACATTTTCTTTCACGAGCAGTGCCCACACTGTGCAATGGAAGCACATATAGTACGTGTACTGGGGCCAGGCAGTCTGGGCCAATAGCCAGCCAGCTGGCTTGAGTACAGTATAGTTCCCAGTGGCAGTGGAATGATTGCATAGGTAACTCCAAACCATGCCACAGCATAATCCAGTAGAACAGGATTTTATTAGATTGGATGGTCCATTTTGCATTGTCAAGATAGTTTGAAGTTGGTCAAATGAGCTCAGGCAGGAGATTGCTGGAGATGGGAGACTCTCCACCACACCAGCATGTGTATGTGATTGCCACCGGTTGCTACTGAATGACAGTGATATGGCTGTGAACCATTTCTTTGGTTTCAGAAGTCCATTCAGGTTTTTGTTGCCATGATGGGCAATGTATACGGACTTTCCTTATGTCTTCCATGGGGCGTGCTTGTATCTTCAGCTGTTGGTGTTATCTCTGCTTTGGACACATGTCCCGATCAAAGGAAGTCCCGAGAGCACCAGGCATTACTTCAGTATGACTATGTCCTTGTTGAGAGATGACAGCACCTCCTTGTTGTTCACCTTGTAAATGTTGTCTGGTGTTTTTACTCCAGCTGCAGCTGACAGTAACATACTGCACACCCAACACCATTCTCCACCTTAATATTAATGAGGTGTCAATCTGCAACATTTTAAAAGAGTATGGGGGTGGGGGGGCTCTTTTGGAGTCACTTTTCCCAGACAGGACGAGCTCATTCTTCACACCTTTCCTTGTCCTTCTCTTCACAGGGACATTGTTTCCCATGTGCAAACAGCAAATGTCCTCAGATGGGCTACCATGCTGACAAGCTCCCTGTGACTGATGGCCCGTCAGAGTACTTTCTCAACACTGGCAGTGCAAGCCCCTTTGGCCGTAAGTGCGCTGACCTTCCAGCCTCAGCAAAGTAACACTGCAACTTATGCGATGAAATCTTTTCATATCAGTGATGTCCAGTAAAATGTATGTCCACAGTTTTATTGTTTTTCATGCTTTCAGCTCAGTTGAACAATCACACATAACATTTACTACTGGACATGTTTCATCCTCATAGTCTTTTAGAGTTTTGTTCAGGCGAATTTGGGTAGAGTCAAGAATGCGCTGTCATCCATGTAACCAAAGCCATTTATCCAGTGTCCTGAAAAACTTAAGTGGGAGAAGGCCAGAGTTTTTAATTAATGTTGTACAGGACTGTTACCTGGAAGCAACATGTAGTGTGCAGACACGGTACATACCAGTCAGGGCAAAGTATCAATAGGAAGAAGTGTTTATTATTTTTTCTCAGTGCTATTTTGTTGGTTGTCAAGGTGTTCACTCTATCATCAATATGTACGTATGTAACAAATAGACTGGAAACTACTCTCTCCCTCCACCCACATATCAAATATCATGAAACTATGCCAGAGAAATGGTGAAGTAATGTGATTGCTTGCTATTTTTTTCTTTTTAGGTTACAGCTACAGTGTGACAGTAACCCTAGATGGTTCCCACAAGTATACCACAGGCTCCATGTATGTGGCACTCGCTGGAGCCAAAGAAAACACCAAGGAGTACCGGCTTTATAAGTAAGAACATTTTCAGTTAAAAAGACCAAGGTCTTTCAGTCCATGTGTCACTGGTGAGGATAAAGTTGTAGAAGACCGGCCCCGTGATGTTGTGCTTTTTTTGTTAATCAGGCCTGAGAGCTTGAATAGCTGTACCCCTGCTCGATACTCTAATATCACGTAATAGCCTGCCCCCCTGCAAATTCCTGTTTACTGCTGCAGAGAGGAAGTTTTCTTCAAGGACTGAAGGTTGACAACCTTGGATGGCACTGGGCATATGCTGTGTGGGGAAAAAAGCAGCTACTTCTAAACTTGACATAAAGCTGCATAATGTAAATGTATTCTGAAGTTTGACTGTGTCAACTTTGTTCACCACAGAAATGGAAATGTTTATATTAAATCCTGCAGGTTACCTTCTGTATTGTGGCCGATTGCCCACACAACAAATTTGGAGTGATAACACAAACCAGGCAAAAACATGCAAAATTTACCACGTAAATATGTTTATTGCTAAGCATATTTTTATTATATGAGGTGTTATATTACTGCATGTCGCATGAGTGTATGTAATGAAATAAAAAAACACATTACCACCTAAAATATGTTTTGAGAGTGATCTGTTGTGACATATCTCCAGGGGTAAACTGGTGCCTGGGCGGGCCTATGACATGCTGATTGATGCTGAGGTGGATGTGGGTAATGTGACAAAGGTGATGTTTCGGTGGGACGACTACATCATTAACATCTTGAAACCCAATTATGGTGCATCTAAGGTGGAGGTGCAGAGAGGAAAGGATCGTCAGATGTAAGTTCTTCTTCTCTGTAAACATTTTGTAAAGACACCTTAATGTGACATAAGTCAAGCAAGCATACACACTACTAAGGACAGAGCTTGGTGACAGGGGCTATATATAGATGTACAGATAGGTAGATAGATAGTTTACTTCCTCCAGTATGCTTAATAATACTTTATGTGGATCCTCTGCCTCCGGATCACAGAGCTACAATACACCTCCCGGTGGTTACATGGAAAATCACAGGGTGTGCATGGGGCTATTTTGGGGGCTATATGTGAACACTTAAACTGTTTGAGACCTACACTGTATCTATAAACGTAACAAGAAATGAAAATCAGCCAATGTTTTCTTTAACTATATTTCTTTTGACCTCACTGAAACCCACTGTGTTGAAAAGTCTTGCACTAGTAATGCCACAAGCTGAGGTTGCAGACTGGAATGTGACAAAAGCTATGATATTATATCAAATAAGGAATTCTTTGTTTGATATGTCTGAATAGATTTTGTATGTTGTGTGAGCCCTGCACAAACAAATATAAATCCCCCCTCCAAATGTCAGTCAGTCACATGATATCACTGATGTTTGAGGTCAGACTACAGACAGGTTAATCCCATAGGAGAAATTCAAATAGATTTACAGTATGCAGACTTCAGTCTGCACCGTATAACTGTCAACGTGCTCTGAGTCTTTGTAAGTTTTTTGTTTTGTTTTGTTTTGTTTTTGCATTCTGTTGACAATTATAAATAATTATATGAGATTTGGGAGGGGTCTCCAGGGCCACAAACAGAAAAATGATGATTACAGGACAAATGTAGACATCTATACTGATGTAAGAACTGATGAACAAAGCTTGGTGGGGTTTCGGTTTTACCCTCTGCAAAATGACTACATGGCTCTGACTAGCCTTAGCCACTAGAGAGCAGCATTGGACTGCTCCTAGTGCCCTCTAGTGGCCAGGGCAGCTGGGGGTGGGGTGAGATGGTATGGTATCATACACCCTGAAGATTTCTTTTTATGTTGTACATGATGCTTTGACACCTCTTGTCTTCCACAACCACACAATACAGCAATCAATAAAAGAAAGTTCATTTCCTGAAACAAACCTGTACACAATTATACAATACCAGATTAATGTAGGATCATGATGATGATGGTGATGAAGATTATTAATATTATTATTAGCAACAGCAGTAGCAGTAGTAATATAGCTTGGCTTGTCAGCCCATAAAGATTTCCAATAATTAGTCCATACTAGGATTTATTCTTTAGTATTTTTATCAGGGAATTAGAGTTGTCATTGTTTACACACCTGGCTATTGATTAAAATTGATACCCAAGCCAAAATATTCTTTTAGATTCTCTTCTGAAATGTTTCACTCAGTCTTTTTTATCTCCTGATTTCCCTTCCCAGCTTCCTCTTCTGTGGAACAGAGAACGTGGCAGAGAATGAGATCCAGTCTGTGCTTCCATGCCAAGCTTAATCAGTCACAATCACCATGTCACTCAAGGTCTTTTAATAAAGATTTTGCATTGAATTGATCCTTTGTTCTGTTGTGTAGGATGTAGCAGCATTACACGATGATCAGACAATGAATAGAATAGGACGAAAGTGCGGAGGACTTAGCCTGATCAACTGAAATCAGTTAAAGAAATAGATTAGAAATAAAACAAAAGCATGTGGAGATAAAGTGTAGTGGGTCACCTGCAGCAGGTTTGTACTGACCTGATGAAAGAAGGTAATATCTGAAGTCTCAGCTTCTGGTCTTGGCTTTAATAGACTATGTGAAATATCAAAAGCTGTGTTAGTCCTACTGTCCTTCCATGGGAATAATCTTGCTGACTGGCAACTGGTAAGCACCAAACACCTGTCACACTGAGAGAGCTGCAATAAGGATAACTACTTAGAAATGCAAAACCACCACATGGAAAACAACCACAAAGAGATGTAAAATGGCTAAAATGATATTCAAAACTATCTGAAACACACAAAGCATGACCCAATTATTTATTGTTATGACGTTATTTATTGTTGTTCCTCTTTCGGCTGCTCACCACTGTGTGGGCTGTTGCTACTGCACAGCATTGCAATCCATGTATGGCAAAGTTGTTATGCCTAACTTATGGGATCATTTAAAATCGCCAGTTAACCTCACCTGCATGTCTTCAGGCTGTGGAGGGAAGCCAGAGTACCTAGAGAGAACATCCAAACTCCGCCCAGAAAGAACCCAACAGGGATGTGAATCCTGACCCTTCTCGTTGTTAACCCCTGAACCATGCTGCCCCTGAAAACAATGATTATACTCACTCAAATTTGCTTGTCAATATGCAAAAACTGTGGAGTCTCAAGAAATCCGTGTTTTTGTAGTAGGCTGATAATTCACATAAAAGAGCCGACCGAGTCCTTTTTGTTATATTACATGTAAATCTGCTGTTGACTGTTTTTACCATCATGTCTGCTGCTGTTGGTCATTTGCACTACTGTCACTGATTGTACAGGGTTTGAGTCATAGCCTATTAGGTTGTACCGTTTAGTTTTTATCCTAATCTTTTTGATTTAGTTTTCTTATTCCATTTTTATTTTATTTTAGTTTCCTAAAATGGTATGGCATTCAATACTAGGTGAGAGAGAAACAGCATTTTGATTTTCTGTATGTCCTGCACATATAGTGAACTGACAATAGAAATCTTTGATTTTGCAAACTAAACCTGACAACTGCATTGTTCTTTTTAGTCCCCCATCACTGCAGCGTTATTACTGTCACTTTAACGGGCTGAACAGGAGCAGCAGTACGAGGGATACTTCACATGTCCAACTGGTAAAAGCCCTTGCCGTTCTTTCTGTTGAAAGCTAACTGTTCCTCACTGCAAAGGCCTGTCAGGACAAGGAGAGGGTAAATATTATCCTCATTAATGTTAAAAGACATCAGGCTCCATTTGTGCATACACAAATCAACAGTAAATTACATGGTGAGATCACTGCTTTCTCATGCTCATTGGGATACAGAATAGTCCTGGACAAAATCTTGTCTAATGTGTCACATATATTTGTAATTCCAAAAGGCAGTTGCATGTGCATGTGTGTATGTGCACGTGTGTCTGCAAAGCACTTATTAATCTGTCTGTGGCCTTTCGCTGGCTTATGAAGTCGTGATTGTGTGTCATTGTTTTGGCTTCATTTATTTGAACACACACCCCGTAATCATGCTTGCAAATATACAGCTTTATAAAGGCGAGCTGCCATTTTCATCATGGCGCTAACAAAGTGCATTTGAAATCACTGACTTCCCTTGAGCTGAGCCATCAGTGCTCACACAATACCAATCAGAAGAAAAAACTCTCAGCTTCAAAGCTTCAAGCTTGACTACATTAATAATATTAATAAAACAGCAAATTGAATGTGTGGGCTAAGAGGTGGGGGGAGAAAGTGTCTTGAAATCCTCTAAAGACATCTGTCTTTGTCTCTGACTCTTGTTTCTCTTTTCATTATTGGCTCATTGAAAGTGAAGGCTAATGACAAAATAGCAGGCTAATTCCTGTAATTATGTATGTTTGTCAGAGGAAATTCACAAATGACAGCGCTTCATTTTCTGATCTTTAAGCCAGTAGCTTCGGGGGTGGCATTGTTACTTACAAAGCATTTACAGACAGGTCATGAATTAGTGAGGTGTAGATGTAGGTGGCAAGAGGAAAATAGCTCCCCTGGGGAATGCTTGCACAACAATCTTAACCCCTGGCCGTTATTGTCATGAAGAACAATTCAGCAGAAATAGGGAGCAGTAAAGAATTCATATGCTTTGCTGTTGCAAGACATGAATGTCCAGCAAAACAGGATGTAACACCACATGTTGCATGATATTTGAATGTAAAAGGCAACGCTGAAAGAAACAGAGACACAGTAAACTGCCAAAGGGTTTTAGCTTTTCAGCTGTTCGGTGCTTTTCCAGAGCTGTCATATGAAGAAAAATGCATGTCATAATAAAATGGCTTTGAATACCACAATATTTGACCTTTCCAATAAATAGATTCAGCAGTATTATGACAGCACACAAAGGAATCTGTTTTAATGAGCAGGAGGGAGGCTGAATAGACTGGTTCAAACAGGGTCAGTGCAGGCTTTTCAAAGCACACGCTGGCTTTTTCCTGCT